GAGAGAGAGAGAGAGAGAGAGAGAGAGAGAGAGAGAGAGAGAGAGAGAGAGAGAGAGAGAGAGAGAGAGAGAGAGAGAGAGAGAAATGTGGTGTCGCTACCGTGTCATTATGTATGCATTGCCACGTATTTGAGAAAAACAGTTGATGTTTTGTGTGTATATTTTGATTTTATTTACTCTTTTATTTATGTTTTTATGTCATTTTTTTCAAAAGGTTTTATTAGCATATTAAACCACCACTACCTCCTCCTCTGTTTTACGCCATGCCTGAATTTTCTTTGGTCACCATGTTTTGTTGATCCGGGGTAGTTGCATCCAAAAGAGAAACAGGGAAAAAAAAAAAAAATCATGGGCAAACGTCGTGATAACCATCAGATACATTCTACGAGGTGCTAGTGTGATTGTGCCCTAAGTGAGGGCGGACAGACGAACAACAGATGAAAAATGGGGGGGGGGGGGAAACATTCCTTACGCTAGGATGGCGGTCCGATACAGATGCTATAGTAGTATGTGAGTGTGAGGTAAGTAAGGCAGTTACCTGCCCCACGTGGAATATGCCCCGGGCCTCGCTAGCAGGGAACTACGTGATAACCCCGACTTCTCCGGAGTAGGGTGCTTTTGAGACTTAGCGTTTGCTTGTGGAAGGTAGTGGTGATTTTATTTTATTTTTTTGCACCTTTTTTTTTTTTTTTTTTTTTTTTTTTACTACATGTTGTAACCCTGTATTGATGGTACAGTGTAATGATGATGCTAATGTCGTGGTATACTCATGAAGCTGAAGACAAATGCAGTTGACGACGATGATGATAATGATGGTGGTGTTTGTGTTGGTGGTGGTGATGATGATGATGATGATGATGATGATGATGATGATGATGATGATGATGATGGTGATGATGACAAATGATATTGATGATGATGACAAATGATATTGATCATGATGACAAATGATATTGATGATGATGACAATGATGATGAGAGGGGTTTATACCGGTGTACAGGCGAGAGGGTCAGTGCATGCTTGTGTCTTGCCACGTGTGCCTTGGCGACATCAACTATCCCGTTGTTTCGAACCACAGGAAAGCATGCACTAGCAGATGGAAAAAAAATGCACGAGAACTTGAATGTCGGTGAAACGAAGGTGCGCACGTGGCTGGGTCAGTGCATGTCACGCGGATGTCACATGTACCCTTGTGAGAGCATCAATCCCCTCGATTTGACCGTGGAAATGCATCCTAACCTTGTGTGCGTTTTAAGTTGCAAACGAACTTTCACCTAACTCGTTTGTCTTGTAATATGAGACAAAAAAACCATGATAATACACAGAAAAAAAAACTTCCTTACAGTTTGTATGCCTTGTACAATACTGTGTCTTTATAATAGCATTCCTTTCGCACACAATGACAGAGGAGGAGAGGGGTTGGTCGGTGGACACGTGGCATGGTTGTTGCGGGTCTGTGCATTGCCACGTGTCGCCCAGTGGGATCATCAACGATTTGACCACAACAAAGGAAGAAGCAAAAATGCAAAGAAGCGAAGGAACACGCAAAAAGAAAAAATCAAAAAAGTACAAAGACTATACATTCGCAGATCCAAAAAATCGAAGTGAAGGGGGAGAGAGAGAGAGAGAGAGAGAGAGAGAGAGAGAGAGAGAGAGAGAGAGAGA